CAGGTAGTACGTAATACCCCCTTTACTCTACAAAACACTTATGGCTACCCTTGTTTCTTTTATAGAATCACTTAATGCTAAAATCATGCAAGATCTCAGCTCACCAAAGTGAGACTTCTTCCACATGTGATGTGCTCTGTCCTAAATCTCTAGCATGAATAGCAGCTGAGAGGTATTTATAGCTCATACTGACTTTTTGTCGAGAAAAAACTTCAGATTTACAGCAAGATACCGGGTTAGATTCATTCCAAATATAAACTAATATTATTCAGTCCATTTACAACAGGGATGAATGAGGTTTATTATTACCCAGCTACAGTCTCTCTTCTCTGTGGCAAGCTGCCAACGGGGTTTGAAATCTGAACAAAAATACACGTTCAACCTGAAGGCAGCATTGACTGCATACAGGCTATTCAACTGCCTGCAGCAGGGCTCTCTCTTGGGGCAGCCAGGGGCCAGGCCAAGGACATGTACCTGCAGTCCCTCAGCTGCGTTTCATCCACACGTCCCTGTTATGTGCCCTTTTTCTAAAGTTTTCCAGTAGGCTTGCATCACTCCAACTCTCCCTTCAACATCCTCAGTCCCTCTCTCCCTTAAAAGTTCAGCCAATGGCTCTTGTAGAGGTGTCCAAGCGAGCAGAAAGGCTGTCCACTGCAGTCTGCGGGTCCAAGTGCTTTCTACTGTCAGCTGACTGACTTCAATGAACTTCTTTCTTCTTTCCATGCCGCGAACAGGATTAGTAGAATTGAAGCAAGTTAACGTTTATTAGTATTTGGATTTCCCTTTCCCGGCTTAGAAAAGAAAATAAATACAGTACCAGAAAAGTTAACTTTCTTCTTTGATTTTTAGCTGCAAATACAATTTGAGTAGCAATGACTCATTGGAACTCCTCCTAATAAAGTGGTCTTTATCCAATTATATTAGCCTATCAAGCAAAGGCATTTATACTTCTAAACACAGGCCAGCGGCCACACAAGGTACTTCAGCCCTGAGGCTACATTAATGGTTTGGGGAAAGCCTTTAATGACAGCCTACAAGATTCCCCTATAGTTTAAGCTCATTTGTTTGCTACTTGCCAGGGGCAGAATTTGACCTTACCAAAAAGGCTTTATGAACACTATGAACCTTTCATTCCACAATTTAATTTAATGACTAAGATGGTCTGAATGAGAGTCTGTAATTTGAGGTTAAACTCCTTCAGAACTAAAGTCATAACGGCATTTTTCAATCTGGACTAAATTTGCATAACTTAGTTATACAACACCAAGGACTGGGATATAATGGCAGCGTGGATAAACTGTAACAGCACTGCCAGGGCATCACCAGAACAAATGACACACAAAACGGGCCTGTGCCAGGAGTTGTGGGTTGGTTTTTTTTTCACTAATAGTTTCAGAAACACAGGCACTGCTACAGTTCTTAGTCATTTCTTTCAGTGCGGGTATGGATAAACTTTGATCCTACATGGCTTTCAACAAGAAAAATGTATACAACTTCTCAGAAAGAAAGAAAAAAAAAAAAGCTGTTTCAAATCCAACATACACATGTGTTTGGAAGCATTCAACCTTAACTACTTCTGTAATTATCCACCTGAATACAGCACGATTATGCCTGCATTTTTTGGTTTTTAAAAGGACAGTACTTCACTGCTCTTAGATACTTTTCTACGCCAAAGGGCTGTAAAAACGTATTTGGAAAACTGAAAATGTTAAAAAATACAGCAGAAAGTCTTCTCAGCCTATACTGTCAGTTTTAGGCTCTTTGAAAAGAGAGAACAAGATTAACCATCTATGGGGTCAGGACATCCTTTAGCCTCTATCATATTCTGTCATAGAACAAAATTTTACTTTCACAACCAACAGAGATGGCACCGGGTCAGAATGCCAACGCCCTGTGATGTCTACTGTCTTACGTTTATGGGACAGGCTTCAGAAGACGTAGACCTTGACCCTATACACATGAAGTCAATGTAAACCACCTCGCCTCCACTGCCAGGCCACAAACCCAGCAGCCCGAGGTGTGCGGGTGGCAGCCCTGCAGTCACCGACGTGGCCACGCAGACGTGTCCAGAGCCGCCCACACAGGCTGGGCTGCAAGACCGGCCTGACAACGCAGCAGGAACTTCTCAGGGGCTGTGGTCCTCTGCCAAGCAGGCAACTCCCACTGAACCACTGTCATTAACGCCAACACTGGGGCATCCTCCAAGCCCTAAGTGGGTCTCCCACTGCCCAGGGTGGGTACCAGCACAGGCAGACCCACCAGTAGAGCAGGATCCCAGGGGGACTGAGGGAAGAAAAGGCAGAAGAGAAAAGGCAGACGAGAAAAGGCCGGTCCCCGGAAAAGCTGCCTGACAGGGACTGGAAGGGAAACGGAGACACCGGAGCAGGGGCTGCCCCCGCTGCTTCACCAGCTAACGGGGATATGCGGATCAGTTATTTTTATTTTACCGTCTCCAAGGGGCAGATCAAGGTTGGACAAGAGCCCAGACCGCCAGGCGAAGGGGGACACGCTTCCCTAAGCGACCACCCCACGGATCAGCATAGACCCCCACCGGGAGGCGGGGGGAGGAGGTACAACTCCCGACGTGCCCCCTACGGAGCGAGGAGTCCCGTAACACCGCCCCCTACTCCCCCGGCTGCCCTCACCTCCACGATGCGAGCGCACTGCGTCCCCTTGCCCGCCCCGGGCCCGCCGAGGACGAAGACGACGACGGGCTTCATGAGGAGAAGGAGGCGGCGGCGGAGCAGCAGCAGGACAGCGGCGGCGGAGCGGCGGCCAGAGGGCGGCCGTGAAGCGGGCGAGGAGCAGCGGGCAC